GCAAACTCAGGGAGGCAGTGAAGGACAGGAAGGCCTGGCGCAATATGGTTCATGGGGTCACGAAGAGTCGGACACGACTTAACGACTAAACAACAACAACAACCTGTAGTAACAGTATCTTGAAAGCCAGATTCTAGTAAATTTTGGAGGAGTAAGCCTTATCTGCCTTCTCATGCTTTCTCTGCATCTTAGGCTTAAAGCATGCTTTTATTTTTTTTCTCCAAGATAATCTCCTTGGCTCTACACAGTACTCATATTATATAAATATCACACAGTAGTGACTTGAAAAGTAATTTAAAACAGAAAAATATTGTGTGCGTGGAAAAGTTTACGTCAAGCTACATGGATGTGACCCATTCCAATTTCCATAACTGACTGTGAACAGGGATTAACTTTTACACAAAGTGTGAGACCAAGAAAGTGGAGGACATGATCTTTTTATACTTTTGGTGTCTACAATCTGTGCTCCCTTTTATCACAGACAATTGTTTTTGTTATCGACAGTATATATGCAAACTTACTTGCATGGAGGATTCCATCACTGAAACCACAGTTACTGCATCTTCCACAGTTACAATTTCCCTGAACATCAATCGAGCGTGTGCTGAAAAACAGGTTTAAAAGAAAATCTATAAAAGTTGATAAGCAAATGATTACATGGAATATACTGAATGCACATGGTACCTCCTAAAAGTTTTATTAGCAACACCCAATACCTATATATACATCTATCCTATTTTATCTAATCTACCTGGATTTTATTAGATTTATATCCTGTCTTTTGATCAGGAGCAAAAGGTGGCATACATAGCATTCGCTCCTCCCATTCTTCCCAACAAGAACCACCTTGTGAGGTAGACTGGGCTGAGAAAAGGTGGCCCCAAATCATCCAGAGAGCTTCTGTGGCTGTCAGTGGGCTAGCCCTAGATCTCCACACTCCTAATCCAATACCTTAACCACAATATCACATTGCTGTATAGAGAAAAAGAAAAGGAAAAATAATTAAAGGAAAAAACTCACATACCAAAAAAAAAAAAAAAAGGAAGAACAGGAAAAAAAGAAAACTGTAAAGCATACCCTATTATGTAGAGAAAATGTGATTCAACCTCATTTTTTAAATATATCATTAAACTTTAACCACATAGAACAATACCAATCCATTATAGAAAGTGAATACATGTGAATGATCCCAAATTGAAATTCTGTGATTGTATTGTCTTATAACATCTAAAAAATTATTTTGCTCTACCTCATCATCAGTACTGTATATCCAAAGTTCTTTGTATTATGATGCGTAGTTCAAAAGTATAACCACTTCTTTAACCACAATGATCTTTGTAACCCATTATTAACAAACTTCTATAGATTAAATCAAAATAGGGAGAATGCAAGAGTTGCTCATATCAAGTAAGTGTCCCTCATGCAGTCTATATTTCCAGAATAACATGGTTGACAGCCAAACCTTTTAAAAAATGTTCTGAGGTGTCCAATAAACATGAAAGACAATCTTTTATGGAATTAATCTCATATTAAGATACAGTCATGTAAAAAAGAAAGTATACCCTCTTTGAGTTCATTGGTTTTACGTACTCAACTAAGTACACCCTTATTGCTCCCATAGGTATGAAGAGGCTAAGTAGCA